CCTGCCGGTAGGTTGGGGTGTGGGTGATGGTGAGACCCCCGGGGGTCGGGGTGAACATCTCCGTTTTAATCTCTGCAGCATCCCTAGGGATGGAGGCAGATAAGACCGGCCACTTTCGCAGGTTGCAGTTGGCATTTACAACGTCCTTCTCTTTTTCTCATCTCCCAGACCTCCCACCACGTCATCCCCCACAAGTTTTCACGTCTTCTGGCCCAGTGTGGCATGTACAGATATCATGGGCTGAACACCTCCATGGAGAAAAGCCACGTCACGGGTGTAGAGGCCTTCATCACTGCCACTGAGCACGACTTCCACCCCAGCTACAACCCCACTGGCCCCTCACACTGTTGGGTCCCCAGGTGCCACCACTGAAACACTGGAGGTTGTTTTTGCTGGGAAAGCCACATGCACCCACCCTGATGCTACATGAAACCACCTAATAAAAAACCCGAATGATATTCGGAATAGTATCTTAATTTAGAGAAATTTAATGTGGCTAAATGTCAGTCGAGTAGCTCATATGAGCCATTTTAGATGATTAGTAGGCAGCATATAAATACTACAACATCATTACATCCCCTTAGCCTCTTCTCTGTCACAAATCATCCTTTAAACTCTTGGCTCATGTCATTAAGACTGAAGATTTAAACTGCTTCTCTACCATTTAAGGTGTAACCAAACTGCAGGTTTTCCAGGGGTATTCACTAACCCTTTGGATTCCTTGCAGAAAGTTCATCTTTCTTCCCTCTCAAAACTACAAACTATTAAGAAATTACTCAAATCAAGACAAGTAATCCAAAAGAAAAGGTTTTCTTAAGCTTTATTGTAACAACTGTAGTTAACAGCCAGTGAAACTGTGTCAGTTGGACAGTGAGTGTGCTGAACATTTTAGGCTTAAAAACTAGCTTTGAAGAGATACTACTCAGCCTGTTCCTGGATGAGAAACAGTCCCACCTTACATATGTGACTCGGGGGTAGCACACAACAACAACGAACATAATACTGCTCTAGTTTGCTAAAAATACAAAAAATGAGTGTGATAGTATGTCCAAGCACCACTGCAAGGGATATTCTTCATGTTAGAAATACTCCCTGTTTGTGGCATTTGGTTATCTCAACCAGAAGAATGTCTGGGTAAATTCCACCCGAGTGGACCAAACATTGGAACAAGTAAATAAACTGAGCAGAAATAGGCCTGGAAATTTAACTTTTAAAATACTTAAAACATGAAAATAAACCCACAACACTCTCTGTTTGCTGCTAAGCTCCTGTTAGACTCTAGCCAATACCTTGAGCTTCTTACACCTTCCCTTTCCTTTTCTTCTCCTGCAATAAAAAAAAAAATAACAAAGTGCTAAATTAATATCAACAGTTGTGACAATTTAACATACATTTTTACCCATGGATTCTTCTGCAGGTGGCATAATTTAGGGCTCAAAGTGCCTCCTAAAAACATAAATGGAGTGGATTCTGTCACATATTTTCCACCTATTTTCATACTTCATCTGCAAACACCCACCTGTTCTTCCCTGCCTTCATTTCTTCCCTCCTAGTTTTATTCCTGAAGTGAAGCCAGTTCCTTTGAAGAGTTTTGCATGCAGAATACCTTAGTGTTCAGAACACACCTTTTCCTAAAGAAATAACTACACAAACTCAAAATATCCTCCTAAAGGTGACATGTTTTACCACTCAGAACCTACCTGAAACAATCTCTTTCCACTCTGTATTTTGCAAGGAAGGTTTTTGTGTTGGCAGATAAAATTATGAGGCTGAACTATCACAAACTGAAGGTCTGAAATATTAAAGAGCTTACACATTAATAAAAGAAACGGTGGCAGGAATGGTGGTCCTGCCTTGGAGAAAAAGCAGGTACATGGCAAAACACATGTTCCTGAAACAGCAGCAAAGAACTGGTGATAAATAATTCAGGTAGTCTCTTGTGGTCCTTCGAGGATCCTTTCAGAAAAATGGTCACTGTGATTAAAAACCCCCCAATAAATCTATTTTCAAAGTCCTGAGTGAGGAGAGATTTGTCTGAGAGCTGTGGCACTGCAGTCAGGATGTTGTAACTTACCAGGAGCTGTCAGAAAACATACCAAGGGGTTTGAGAACTTCACATCTACATTAGCAAGTTTTGTGCTCTGAGACAAAAATCAATCATTGCACATTTGTTAAACGCATGAACTATCACTCATTAAAGAAAGATAATTTCTTTACATGCTTGAGTAGACCTGAGTTTGTGGTTCTATGTATCTACTGCAGTGAAGGAGAAATTCGTGTTGCAGGAGGGTGGAAATAAGGGGAAAAGGAGCTGCTTGTGGTACTGCCCAGAGCTGTCAGTGGGTGAGAAGAGCCAGAAGGGCTGTACAGTCTGTGCCCACTCCACAGCTCTTATGGTCAGGATCAACAGGAAATAAAAACTGCTTTTGGAACTGCATCTATCAGGATTCAGCCTGGAGAGGTCTGTGCTGCAGTCCCAGCCTTGGTACCACACGTGGATCCATGAATTTCTTCTCACTCAATATAACCTTTCTACTCCTCAGCTGCTCAATCTTTAGTGTGCAGGGTGTAAGAGGGACTTGTCACTGCTCCAAGACACCAGACTCCTCTCCTCTGAACAAGGGATGAGAACTGCACCAGGATGAGGACACTGCCAGCACAGCCATGGCACTCCTAGGGCTGTTATCCCAATTCCAGAGATGTTCCTTGTGACACATTTCGCTACCTGTGGAAACACTCCACTTTTTGACCACAAACAGCATGAGAGAAAGCAGTTTTATGAAGTTTTACTGAAACAGGAACCATCCTCACCTCCCACAACAGCCACCACTGCATTTTGCCTATGGTAATGTACTTGGTAGATTCTCCTTCTTCATTTTTTTGTTACTAAGAAGTTAATTCCACCCTCAGACTACAGTCAGGAGGGAACAGAAAACCACCACACACTCAAGACACAGACACAAACCATAGGGAGACTCTGGTTTCATGGTCCACAGGCAGAACCCCATTTATTCAACGTTATAAACTCAGCAATGTACACCATTTCCTATATACAAATCAAGTTTCTCGATTTTAAAAAAAGTGCTGTTTGAAATCAGGTTTTGTTTAAAGCACAAAGTAACTGGAATTGCATCTTAACTGGAAGTGAATCAGCTCACAAGTCGTACTGAGGACACAGACACATCCACAGGGGCACGAGACACCTTTGAATGTTGATTTACTGACAACTCTGAGGAGGAACATTCAGCTGCTTTTATACAAACAGTACACAGTGCTTCCCCCAGCTCTAGGAAAATTAAGTATACAGTTTAATCCTTTGAAAACAAGGTACTTGGAAAACTTCTAGTTTAAAATACCAGCCTAGACCTATTCCAAACAAAAGGCCCAGACCCTGCAAGGGAATCAAGGCAGACCAAAAAGATAAGCCTGTGTAAATGGACTGCAGGCACTGAGCTAAGTAAAAACCACTTTTCCAAGGGATCCTACCACAAAAACAGATGATCTAGCGCATGGATCTTTTAACAAACCAACCCCAGGACTACAAAAAGGTGGTCAGACAGTACGAAATGCCAAGTGAGCACTATAAACATGTTGAAAACGTAACTGCACCACAGTATAAACACACCAAGGATGATGTTTATTTCTCTACATGCCACAGTTACTTGTTCTACTCTATGCTACGCCGTGTTTTGCCAACATTCTGCACCACACCAGGAATACCAAGTGACACTGAGCCAGTCTTGACTGGTTTTGCCCCATTTTGCCATTTTAAGGCCAGCCTTGAGGAAGACTGAAGTGACAGAGAAACAAAGTATGCCAAGTGGCAGTTTGGCTGAGAGAATTTCTGTAGAGGACTAGACAAAGGGAATATCAGCTCAATTCACAGGGACAAGATGGAAGAACAAACTCCTCCCAGGACTTCACTACACACATGTGAAAAGGAAAGAACCAACCAACAGCTTCAGTTCAGACTTTTGAATTTTCAGTGAAACCACTTTATTTTTGTGGTATGAATGTGCTCCTTCGATCCTGTTTAAAGTCAGTACAAATAAAAAGAGAGTAGTGAAAAATTGCTTTATTCTGGCTACTGGAAACAGAGAGAGAGTCAATAAAAAAAACAGTGCTGAAAATCTCCGTGGCATTTATGTTAGGGACTTCCTATAGCAAACCTGGATTTGTTCTATTGCACAAAAACTGTCAGTGAAAAGTCCACAGAAATGTAACAGTCTAGAAACCACTTCTGATAAAAGGAAAGTAAGGGCACTCAATTCCAGAAAGTTCAGTCAGGAAACCAAAAGCCATCCCTGGGGAACTGCAGGGCTTCAACAGGACTGAGAATAAGGAGGAATTGTTTCAGCCTTGCAGGGCCCACAGTATGTGAATCCAGGGAAACCCAGGGAAATCATGCTGTCTGGACAGACACACTCCTTCACTTGTCTCAGACTGCAATTGTGCTTGGAGTCAGCTGCTAGCAGGAGGTTTGGGGGACTCAAAAGGGCTTTCAGCAGCTGCTGAGATCACTTTACACAGGACGTGCAGACACACAGATCCACTTCATTTACCTGAATTTGCATTTGTGTCTTCTAGGCTGAATCTCCACCCCCACAGCTGAGCTGGCTGTGCTGAGTTCTGCTCAGGGAACTCTCCCCCCCAGACCTTGGGGGGAGAACTGAGACCCCAGCAACAAGCCATGACACAGGATTGTCCTAAGGCAGCTTGAATGTGAGCAGCCAGCTAATCTGCAGTGCTAGCCATGCTGTGTTTTCCTAGGATCTCTTAACAGCTTCCCAAATCTATTCTGTGCGTGAACAGGTTTCCCTTTGATAGATGATTAGAGGCCTCATAACTTAAGGTGTGATTAGCAGTATCTTATCTACAGTAACTACAGCATCCTGTAGTAATGCAAGCCCTAAAAATCATTATAAAAAATATCTCCTTAGAGTACTTTAAATAATTTACAAAATGCTACAAAAACTAGGTCTGTTTGTCCATGATATCCCTGTTAAATAGAAGCATTTTCACATTAGTGTGTGTATGATATACAGCTATCACCATCTCCCACTGCCTCTCCTTCCCTGTCTCAAGGTAATTACAATGAGTTATATCCTAAAAAGCCTCTTACTGTTAAAAAAAAATGTACTTACATATTTGAAACCTTATTTTCCATGAGGGAATCTGCAGGGAGGTCACTAAGTTTTGCACAGGTTTTGGCTAAAACTTCCTGCTCTTGGTGCACTTCACTAGCATTTTCCCTATTCTGTAGGACAGGTGTTTTTCCTTCCAAATTGGAGCTGGAGACCTGCATTTCTTCCTGCCTGTCAACTCTTTCTTCCTTAATGCACATCTGCACACTGTTATCTGAACATGCTCCTCCACTAATTTTATCCACTGCTGCTTCTGTCACATTTAAGTCCTGCTTTGGGCAAGCTCCACTTGGATCTGGCCTCATGTCCAGATCCTCACTGCACACGTGTGCACTCTGCTGAGCTGTGTCTCTGCTCACTTTATCTGCTTTTCCCACTGCCACACTGTGCTCAGGGTGTGGAGGATCTAAATCTGAATCAGCCCAGCTGCCTTGGTGGCTACCTCCTTCCTCAATCCACACCTCTGTGTTCTCAGCTGTGGATGTTGCTCTGCAAACCTGATCTGCTTCCACACTCCATTCCTGTGAGGGGAGGCTCGAGTGAGGGTGGCACTGACCTGCAGCATCAGCCTCTCTGCAGCCCTCACCTTCCTCTCTGATGCACACAGGAGCAGCCTCCTCTCTTTCACAGCTCTCTGCTGCATGGGGGCTTGACACTCCCACAGGGAGTTTCTGGGAAGAACTGGATGCTTTTACTGCTGGTGTATTCTCCCCACTAAATCCACCTTTTGGCAAAGGGGCTCCTCTTCCCTGGATAAGTCCATCTGTATCCTGGGAAGCTGCCTCTATTCCCAACGTGCTGCTCTGGGCAAGCAAACCCTCTGCTTTCTGCTTTTTGTTCAAAAGCATCGATTTCTTCCTGTCCCGAGCATATTTTAGACCTGCAATAAACTTACTGGAGATTTTTAGGTGAAATGTGTTCTTTCTTTTAGCTCTAGGCTTTGCATTCAGTACTTTTTGTACTTTACAACCTTCATTTTTGCTGGGTTTAGGTGGCTCTGCGTTACAGACATTCTTTTTACCTGTTGCACTTCCAGGTAACTCACCAGCACCAAGACCCTGAACCCACACTGCTCCTTGCTTAGCTTTTGACTGACCAGTAGTATGAACATTCCCTGCAGAGGAAGCACATCTCCCACTGCCATGTAACATTGCACTTTTCCCTTCTGTTCTCTGGGAGTTCTTCAACTCCTCAGCTTGCTGAGCTACCTCAGTCTTTTTACTCTGACCCAGCGCGAGGTCCATCTCGTTTTCCACTGGCTGTTGCTTCACTTTTCCTTTGTTAGCAGTTTGTTTGGTCACTCTCAACAGGTCCAGAGCTGCATCATCTTTTTGAATCTCTGAACTGCTTGCAGAGTCTTTAGCTTTTTCTGCCAAAAACTTCCTAATTTCTTGCTCAATGCTGTCATCACTGTCCACTGAGCTGCTGTCATCAGTGTCTGACACAGCTGGGAAAGGAGATTTTCTGGTTTTAGCCCCCTGCTGGTTTGAGACTGCTTTAGGTTTATATCCTTTTTTAAGCTGTAGGTTAAACTCCAGGTTTTTCATGCTTTCTGGTTTTTCACTGGGAAGTTTGAGGTTCGTGCTGTCTGGAGGGTTCCTGACTGCATTCTCTCTCACAGCTTTCCTGGGTTTTGAGAGGCAGCTCTTCAGCAGTGTGGGATTTTTACATTTCCACTCGTGTTGTTGGAGGCTGCTGAATTCATCCAGCAGCTGAGTTTCTGTCTCGCTGAACCTGACTCTCTTCTTGCACTGAGATTTCTGCTCCTTGGACTTCTTCTTTAACTTTCTTTTTGACCGTAAAAGGTCCTTGATAGCACTGTCCAGGTCCTCATCACTGTCCAGAGAACTGCTCTCATCCCCTGAGCCCTCCCTCTCTGGAGTTTGGGTGGGATTGATCAGTTTTTTCGTGCTACTCTGAACCTGCAGAAAAGGGTTTACAGAGTCCAAGGCCACACATCTGCCATCAGAGCCAGACAGTTTGGGACACATCAGCTGCTGCTGCTTCACTTCTTTACTACTGAGGCTCTGAGCATCAGTGTGTTCTGCAGGGCTGCTCAGGGCACACTCCTCTTGGAGCATAGGAAGTCTGGAATAGTTACCTGGTTGGAAAAGTCCTGTCTCCAGCTGCTCAGGTGGTTTTGTTGCCCCTTGTTTGGTTGTTCTGCCTTCCCTTTTAAGTCTCCTTTTGCGACTCAGCGAGAGCTTCAGTGTTTTGGGAAGTGAAGGCTCAAGGGTACCCGTGAGGCTGCTTGGATCAGAAGGCAAAGGCATCTGGATGGAGTGGGACAGACTGGGAGGCTTTGTTCCAAGGTTTTCTGACTGGGCTTTCAGAGCCAAAAAAGCCCTGATTTCTTGCTCTATACTGTCATCACTGTCCACATGGCTGCTGTCACTTTCACCACGAGAGGAGGAGAGAAGCTGCTGCGAGAAGAAGGAGTCTGCAGGCAGCGATCTGTTGTCACTTCCCATTTGGGATGGCATGATTGTTTTGGAAATATCAAGGATAGCTTCTGCACACATGAGTTCTGCAGATGTGTCTGCTCTGCAAGAGGCCTGCAGCGTGAGCTCACAAGCAGCAATCTTGTTTTCTGGAAGTGCAAAGTGTCTGGCTTTTTTCAGTGGTTTGAACAGCTTGTTAAAGTCATTGCTGGTGCTTTCTAATCCCGCTGATTTGGAATTCATTTCTTTCCTCTTGTTGCTTTTATGGATTTCTGGTGAGGCACTTTTTGTGGAGTTAATTGTCAGGCTTGCAGAAATGTCTGCCATACCCTTTGGATCAAATTGTTCCCCCTGCAAAGGGACACAGTCTGCTGCATGACCTGCCTCTTTCCTGCTTTTCTCCAGCTGGTAAAGCTGAATGGCTTCCTCAATGCCATCATCACTGCTCGAGTCGGACGCGTGCGTGTTCTCCTTGGTAAGAGCTTCCCTCGGCTCCCAGCAGTGAGCTCCACTTCCCTCATTCTCCTCCACTAGCCAGGGCTGGCTGGCAGTGGCCACTCCTAGATAGGCTTGGCTCACTTGGCTGAAATCACCAGGCTCTGCCTGGATTTTTGACTGCAAACACTTGGCCTGAGAGCTGGATCCCTGCAGCTTGGGGTGGTGGTGCAGGAGCAGTGTGTTACAGCCTCGTTTTATAGCACCACAGCTCGTTCTGTTTGTCACTTCTTTATTGCATTCCATGACAGATCTCACAGGGGAATCTTTATTGTCCTCCCCAGTTACACATTTGCTGATTTCTTGCTGCTTCTTCTCATTTAAGAACTGCACTATTTCAGCCTGTATGCTCTGCTCAAAAGAGTCATCACTGCTGATGCTCTGAGGGGAGGAAGGCTGGAGCCTTTTCCCAATTCCCAGGTGGTCAGACAGGTATTCCTCAGAGAGCATCTCAGCTTTAAATTTCACAGGGAGGAGGTTACTGGACACCTTGGTCTGGGAGAACTCTCTCTTAAACCTTTTGTCTCTGCTTACGTTCTCAGAACACTCTGCATTCCTTGGCAAGGACTGGTCACTTTTGCTTTTTGCTTTCAAGTACTCCTGGATGGCTTCCTCTATGCCTCTGTCCACAGAGTCGTCGCTGTCAGAATCGAGCAGGAGAGGCCCAAACTCCACATTCTCCTCCACTTCAGTGTCATCTGCATCATCAGGGCACTCACATTTGGTGTACTGAGGATGCTTCTGCAGCAATGTGGTGTTGGATGGGACTCTGTTCCTGGGGTCTTCTTCTCCCTTTTGTTTCTTCTGCATAACACAGCCACACTCATTTTTCATACCCAGGGCAGGCTCTTGGCTTTGCAGGTTGTTTATGATCATCTGAACTTCTGCACTCACAGAGGTTCTAGTGACGTCCCCGTCGGATTCAGGGAAGCAGACAGGATATCTACAATTCCTTGCTGGCCCAAAGGACTCCCATTTTGTCTGAAGAGCTACCAAAGGAGAAGCATTCATAAGGAACATTCTAGCAGGCAACAGCACAGTCCACAACAGGTGTTTTTCAGAATGGGCTCTCTTCCATCCTACAAGAGGAGAAAAAAGGGAAATATTTATTATCATGCCTTCTAGAGATTCTAGGTAACAAACTGTAAATTATTGATTGTTGGAGAATGGCTAAGAGAGCAGGGATATAATCCTGGGGAAGGCCAAAAAGAGCTAGGCCACAGTCCCCTGGGAAAGTACAGACACAGTCCTGGGAACACACCTGGGAATGCAGTGTGTACAAGCAAGGCTCTGGAGATAGTAACTTATATATAGATAGGGAGTAACTCAGCTGGGCAGATGGCAGATGGCAGGGGTAACTCGTCCTTGAGGGTGAAACAAACAGGTTCGAGAAAAACAGCTAGGAATGCACCCAAGCCTGGGAAAGCAGGAGATAAGCCTCACAGCTGCAGCTGTGAGTAAGGGGAGTACCTGAATGCTATCTTTAGAGCCTAGCCAATTAAAAGTGATGGATAATTGTACGCCTGCTTCTGCACTGTATAAGAAAGAGCCTGTGGGACAATAAAGTTGGAGCTTGCCGTATCACCCACACGGAGTCGGCCGCTTGCTTCCCCGCACGGAACCTTCACCTTTCCCAACAACTGATGGCCAGAGTTGCTGTGCCAGATAATCACAAGAGTTACTCCTCAACACCACTTCCCTGGGTACATCAGTCACTACTGCCATTAGGGGTAAGGCAGAGCACTCATCATCTGTGGTCTGCAGTATTTTCTGGCACAATTCAGGTCATTATCTCCACTTCCCAAACCCTTCCTGGACATTTCACTGAAGGCTGCCCTCCCTTTGGCACATGCTCCTACACAACCTCATATTGCCCAGACCCACAGAGAATCACACAGGAGCATGCAATCCCCTTCTGCACTGAGCTGGTCTGAGTATTTCTGCAGAGAACTTTGTGGCAGGACTCAACATCACATCCCAACACAGCTTTTACTAGCTCTGCCTTGGCATTAAACACAGAGCTGAGGACTTGGGGCAGCTCACAGCGAAGGAAAAAGAACTTATTTCTCCCTGAAACACTCTACAGCAATACCCCCAAGACATCAATCATGCAACCTCACTGCAGGATAAAAGCTCTTGGCAAACACAGACCTATAGAGGTGTGTAAGAGCAGGATGGAGGTTAGGAACTACTTCTCTATACTATAATGGAAACACCAAACAGAATGAAGCTTTGTTTTGTGGGAGAGTGAAAAAAGCCATACAGGAAGCGCCAGGTAACACCCCAAAGAGTTCACCACTTCCACATGGTCCCACGAGGGCTGAAGGTTTCACCTGCAGCATCATTTGGTAGGATCAAAACAGTATTTGCTGACAGCACCCCAAAAACTACAGCAGTTGGGAGGTTCTTCAAGTCCAGGCTCCACGTAAGTGCAGTGCTCTGCCAACCTACAGGGAGATGCTCTTCCCTCTGCTTTTCTCACTCTGACGTTGCCCTTGTCAATTATTCTCCACTTCTGGTTTCAAATTAATCAGCAGCAATAAATATTTTAAAGAACTGATGATTCTAAGCTCTTTAAAACTCCTATTTCTTTACTACTGGGAGTAAGACAACAGACAACCAAGGAAGACAATTCCTCATCAATCACTCTTGTGATTTTCTTTCCCTCACTGAGAATTCACCTCAAACATCATCCCTGCAGAATTTTAAGTGCAACGATCAAGACCATCACTCCTTGCTGGGTGGTACCTGGAGCAATCCAACACAGGCTGTTTTAACTTCCACCTCTTAGTCACCTGAAGCCAGTTTGGATTTAGTTCAGCTCTGCACACACCAGTACAGCCCAGTGCTCCCAACTCACCCACAAAATACCCCTGGAAGCACCTCACAAGCCCAACATGATGCAGAACCCCAACCTTCAGCACACACAGCTCCTAAAGCAGCCTCCAACACATTCACCAGGGCAAACATAAATGAAAACCATTTTTCCTTGTAATAAGCAGCTAAGGATCAAAAAGACAGAAATTAGAATACCTCATTATCTTGAAGAAACACAATTAACACACTTTAAGTCTCAGCTTCATTAAAAGAAAACAAACCACCCCAACTTCTTTCCTATTAACCTATTTCCACAGGTTTCAGGGAAGGGGCAGGTGCCTGTGCTATCCCACACCTGGAATGTGGTTGTCCTGCAGGGATTGTGCATGGGACTGGGATGAAGCTTTGAGCCCCAGCACTGTTTCAGGCCAGGGCACCTGTGGGGAGTGTGAGGGGACACTCAAGGGCACCTGGAGGCTGTGTGAGAGGAGATGAGGGGACATGTCCAGGGGCAATACCCACAGTGGATGTGAGGAGACATGAGGGGTACCTAGGGGGTACCTAGAGAGGTTATGTGAGCAGGAGGACAAGAGGGCACAGAGTCAAGCTCTGCCAGGGGAGGTTTAGGCTAGATATTAAGAAGAGATTTTTTACAGAGAGAGTGCTCAGGCATTGGAATGTGCTGCCCAGGGAGGTGGTGGATTCACCATCCCTGGAGGTTTTCAAAACAAGACTGGATGTGGCACTTAGTGCCATGGTCTAGTGACCATGGTAGGGTTGGAGTCGACGATCTTTGAGGTCTCTTCCAACCAGGTTGATTCTATGATTCTATGAGGGGAGATGCTCTCAGGGGGGTCCCTCCAGAGGCTGTGTGAGGGGACAGTCACCCTGGGGTGCATGAGGAGACACACACCTGGGGGACACCTAGAGAGACTGCATGAGGAGACACAGACCCAGAGGGACACGCAAAGATGCTGTGTGAAGGGACATGAGGGGACACAGAGATGCTGTGTGAGCAGACACAGACCCAGGGGGACACACACGGATGCCATGTGAAGGGACATGAGGGGACACACACGTGGGGAACACCCAAAGATGCTGTGCGAGGGGACACGAAGGGACACAGACCCAGGGGGAGCCCCACAGATGCTGTGCGAGGGGACACACGTGGGGGACACCCACAGACGCCGTGAGAGGGGACACAGACCCAGGGGGACACATAGATGCTGTGCGAGGGGACACACACAGAGGCTGCAAGCGGAGACACAGACCCAGGGGGACACACAGACCCTGTGTGAAGGGACACGAGGGGACACCCACAGATGCTTTGAGAGAACACGAT